TTTTTTAGTTTTTTACTCCTCTGCCAAACAGTGTGAACATGCATCCAATACCTGAACAATTAACTCATTACTCTTAGCCATAGTGTTCCAAGCCTCAAATCCTCCCTCCCACATCACAGATCCTTAAAAAGATCCTGTTGCAGAATTAGAAGAGACAAAAGGCCATTAAGCCTACTTATTACAAATCTCACAACTTCATGACAAAGCCGCTGGCATTCCACCAGCCTCTGCTTTGGCACAGCCAGCGACAGGACGTCCACTGCTTCCCAAGACGGTCCATTTTCTGGCAGCTGAGTCGCAAAGTTGCTCAAGTTAGGTCAAAATCTGTCACTGTTGTGGAAAGGGCACAGCCAAGGACAGAGCTCTTTTCACCTTACTAGACAACTTCTAGGTGGACATCCAATCCGCCCTCCCTCCAGTTCCAAAGCATAAATCTACCCTAATGTCACCAGGGAGGTCAGGCAGGCCCTGCTGCGTAGTGGTTACAGGCTCAGGCTGGGAGTTGGGCTCAGAATTCTGGCTCTGCCCTTGCTAGCTGTGCAATACTGGGCAAGTTACTTATATGTAACAACATGTGCAACTATAGTTTTCTCATCTGTCACATGAAGATAATAAACTGGTGCTTCCTGGATAACAGCCTTTATGAGGAATAACCTGGAAACTATATATTAGTTAAGGATCTTAGCTGAAGTGTCAGAAACGTGCGTGGAGCTAGCTAAGGAAAAAGAATTCTGTGGCTTTTGTGTTAGCTGGACTTCAAGGAAAACGAAGCCGAGGAGCTTTAACACCTTTGGAAGTCTCCCCCAGTGGTGTGACTCTGCCTCTCTCCAACATGTGATTTCACTCTTCGGGGCAGGTTTTCTGAACTACGATCACTGGAAGAATTACCAAAAAGTATCTCTTTGCTTAGTACCAATCTGAAAATACCCAGAGGCAGAACTGTGCCCATTCTTGCAGTCTGGGACGGGTTGTTATCCTTGCTGGGGACACTAGAACGCAAGGCTGTGTGGGGATTTGGAAGACCAATGTGTCAAAAGAGAGAGGGTGAAGTTTTCAGAAGACAGTGAAATGACTCTCAGGCAGACAAGATTAATGATGATCTCTGTGTAAGTGCTCATTAATTTGCACCTATGATATTATGAAAACCTCATCAAATTCAGATTCCACAAATTAGGTATACTACAAAAACAATTCAGGCAACCAACACAGAATTCCTAACCTTCTTTATTTTGTTAATTTAAAAACTCCTTTAAAAACACAGCTATTGTCACCATCCTTTAACAGAATATATCTACACCAGAAGCTGGAAGGACAAAATCCCAGAACATAGGACAATCCTTTAAATCAATTTAGCTCAGCAGCGCTTGGGTGGCTCAGTAGGTTAAGTGACTAACTCTTGACTGGCTCAGGTCATGATCTCACGGTTGGTGAGTTTGAGTCCAGCTCTGGGTTCTGCAGTGGCAGGGCAGAGCCTGCTTGGGATTCTCTGTCTCCTCTCTCTCTGTCCCTCTCCCACTTGTGTTCTCTCTCTCTCAAAAATAAACTTAAAAAAATCAATTTAGTTCTATGGAAAAAAGCTGCATTTTCTTAATTTGACCAAGGGCTGGTAAAAACTTCATCCAGGTCTGATGCCAGCCAGACCTTGGAAGACAGTGATATAGGTCACAATCTTCCACCTTGTCCACAGGTCTTGCTGTGATCCAGGCGCACTCCTCCCAGCACTTTCCCCATCTAGCACTGAGCTACACTCAGATGCTCAGTGAACTGCCTCACCAGTCCAGCAGCTATCCAAAGATATGAGCATAGTCTGACAGTACTTGGTCTTAACAAATACATGCAGGAACATAGATACACACACATTCATTTAAAAATTCAAACTCTCCCTATTTTCAAAAGGATTGTGGTGATTTTATACATATACAATCATTAAAAGACCAAGATTCCCATAATGCTTGGAAGATGAAGAGAAAGCCTAGACAAAGCCAGCTGCTTTGATAAGGGACTGTATTTCAATTCCAGGCTTACATAATAATTCTCTTAAGAAGTGTGGCTCTGGGAGACAGCAGAGACACATGACTTAAATAAGTCTTCCTCTGACTGCTCAATCTGAGAGTTGGTCTGTCTGCGGGTGTGCATGTCTATGGTAACCATTCAAGATGGTGTTCTAAGGGGTTCTTTTTTTCTTTCCTAAAGTTTACTCATTTTGAGAGAGAAAGAGTGGCATGTGAGCAGCAGAGGGGCAGAGAGAGAGGGAGAGAGACAGAATCCCAACCAGGCTCCTCATTGTCAGCACAGAGCCCGATCAGGGCTTGATCTCAGGAACCATGAGATCATAACCCTAGCTGAATTCAAGAGTCACAGGCTGAACCAACTGAGCCAGCCAGGTGCCCCTGAGGGGTTCTTTCATTTAGTCATTCACTCAATCAACATCTCAATGCACTACAATAGACAACACAGCCACAAAGTTGAATTAAGTACAACCTCCATCTCAAGGAAGTTCATGAACCAGGCAAACTGAAAATTCCTAACATAAAGCATAAAGCACAATCTAAATTAAGTGACCAGTGTCTTCTCTTTTCTTCATTTAACAAAAGATGAAGATCGTTTTAAATTTAGCCTTAAGTTCCAACAGAGCACACAGTAACTGCACACAAACAGCTGATTTTGTGTCTAATTTTCATCTGCTTATAAAAGTTCAAACTTCAGGCATCTAAAGTAGGATATCCTTGAATCCAAGGCACTATGCCCAAGCATAACATGCAATACTGTATCTGAACAATTCCTTCTTGTTCTGTGTGCCTATGTAAAGCCACAGGTGACGTGGCCAAGTTTTCTCTTGGTTGCTGACTGTAATGAAGGCAAGAACTATATCATTAAGCCCTTATAGTAAAAGCCTTAACCTAGCCCATGTCTTTACATCACCAATGCCTCAGTTACTTTTCAACTGCCTTCCCAGATTTCACAGGTGGAGTAGTAGGATGCAGGCCAAAGAAGGAGCAACAGAGGTTCTAGTGGTGGTCAGACATGTCACTCAAGAGGAAAAGCAAGAAAGAGAGACCACAACAGGGTGGTCAGATAGAAACTGGAAGTGTGTGGGAAGGCCAAGAGGAGAAAGTAAGAACAGAAGGGGTGAGGAAGGCAGGCAAAAGACGCACTAATCTAGGATTGGCTAAATGTTTTGTAAGAAATAAGTTAGCTGCAAACAGAACCCAGGGTACCAGAGCCATCACATATGTGTACCCAGAGCCAATGCAAGAAAATGTAACACGAATCAGACTATCCAGATTTAACTGCCCTTTCTGGGACAAGTAAACCACTTACAGTCAGGAAATAAGTTTATGTCTTCCCCAGAAAACTGTGACTTTTTAGTAGAGAGGTAAGGTTTTAGCTAATTCTACAGAACCATAATCCTTCACTGTGAAGTCCTTCAAGCTCATTGATACTTAGTAACACTTTCATAAGCATTATTTTAAATATAAAACTCAATCTTAAAAAAATCAAGCACTATCATTTGTATGTAAGACGTGTTGTTTATTAGAGTCAAATCATAATGTCGGAAGAGGGACATCAAGGCCGAAGAACAGGGCCTATTCAGACAAAGTAAAGGAAGCCAAAGTTCAATAGCTCACAGGCACTCATTCAAGATGAGTACTGTTTCCCACAGCTGACTTTGAAATGCCTGGAGTGACTAAGGCCAAAACAGAGCACGCACAGGGAGCAAAGGTTACTTATTAATTCTATTGTTAATACTAAGGAAAAGTACAAAGGATTATTTAGTACGCCCTGGTAGGATAAAAAGCATTAACAAAATAAAGGCAAAATATTTATAACTAACTCCCATAATAAAGTTAAAAACAGTTTTTAAGAGTTTGCATCTATAATTTTTAAGAGGTTGACGTTTTTAATGTGTTTGTTCCTACCTAACACTTAAAATTTTAAAGCACAAAATTTAAAGTTTCCATATTTGCTCAATTACTACCCATAAAGTTCCAATCATTTTATTAGATTTAGCATTAAGTAACGAGTAAGATTCTTAAATGCTGACGGTAGCCACACAAATTGGTATGTGATTAGATTTCAGGCTTAAAACAGGCTTCCCTAAGTATCTGGGTACTTCCCTCAATAGTCACATTAAACAACTAACTTTCCTAATTATTGTACCTTGTTATACAATTCAAAATACCAATTAAATATTTTATATGTTTTAAAACTAAGCTCCTATCTACCACAATTCCTACCTCTACCTCTTAGGGTCTTCTAAGGTAAATTTTGCTTTAAACCAGTGCTTCTTCACTGGGAGGAAATTTTGCTCCCAGAGGCAAAAAACAAAAAAAATAAGTTTTGGCAACGTCTGGAGACGTTTTGGTTGTTGTAACTAGGAGGTGGAGGAGCGGAGGTGCTGCTGGCATTGGTGGGCAAAGGCCAGGGATGCTGTTATACACACCCTACAATGCACAGGGCAGCCCCTATAACAAAGAATACTCAGGCCCAAAATGTCAACAGTGCCTCTGTTGGGAAACCCCATTCTAAACTGAAACAAGTAAATTTGCAAACACAGCTGACACCTTCAAAAAAACAATTGCCAAGTAAGTAATTCAAAGTTCACTAAGCTTTGTTATTGGTATAGAGATCCAGACATAATAAAAGTTGCTCTTCATACCATTAAAATGATGATCTATTAATCATTAATGCATGAAGTTGCAGGCAAGAAGGGCAAAGAGTACTTTCCCTACCTAAGCAATTAATGATTGCTTAAAAAATGACCATTTCAGGAGACAAAGAAAGGAAGAAAGAAGACAGTGATATTCTTGACAGTTTCCTAGGGTGCTTATATTTTCAAAGACAAACATCAAGTTTTTCTGCCCTCCGTCGTTAGATTTTTAGCCGGATAAAGTTTAAAATGAAATAGAAGAAACAAGTTAACCACATGGTACTAGTTGGTAGAATAATCCTGGACCAAAACACATTACTAAAGTGTCCGCTGAAACTCCGATGTTTACCTGGCAAAAGGACCGGTTCCAGTTTTTTAATCTTCGGTTCCGAATTAATCTTATCGTCAGTCTGAAATACATTAGCAAAATAAATCAAGATCAAAACTTTTCCTCCCCCGTGAGATACCAAAGCAAATTTTGTTTTCTAAGTGATGACACATGCAACAGACACATATTGCTCCCGCCCCCTTAAAATCTTTCACATGTTCTACCAGATCTTTTCAAGATCTGTTCAGTATCGATTGGGGAGCCTGACAAAAATATGAAAACGGCCGATGCCGTTTCCAGGTGTTCACATTTATGACAGGTAACCTCTTCACCAGGTGCCCACAAACGATGCACTCATGCTGGCGGCCACCGCGCGGACAATCGCCAGGCGAAGAGCTAAATAAGTCCGACTCCAAACACTACCCACACACGGCAAAACTACGGATCACAGGTCTCCGGGCGGAGAAAGGCTGTGGCGAAGTTTTACAAGTTTCCACCGATCCAGTGGGGGCTCCGGAGAAGGTGCGTTTCCCCGCGCCGGGGCTCTGGCAATCGCACGGCTGGGGATAGGGAGACCCGGGGAGCCTCCCGGGGGGGTCGGCCCCGGCGGCTCCCCGGAAGCGCCAAGGAGAGGAGCGCTCTCGAGGAGGGGGTTGTTTACCTGGGGCGGCGGCAGGAGGTAGGACCTGAAGGTGGGTCTGGGCGGCTTGAGGGAGAACATGGTGCCGCCGCCTTTTCGCCCCCGCCGGGTCGCAACCCGGGACCCGCCGCGGGCCAGCGGTAGCGCCGACGCCTCCCGACGCCCGCGGGCTCAGAGCTCCCCGTGCGGCCGCCCAGGCCCCGTCTGCGGCCAGCCGGCCCGGGCGGACTGACGGGCGGGGACACGGCGGAGCGCCCGCCCGAGCGGGGAGGAGCCGGGGCAGAGTTGGGTCGACTCGGGCGCCTGGGCCCATCCCCGGAAGGGGCCCGGCGCCCCGCCCCGAGAGACGGTGCGCGCGGGGTCAGCGGCCGGCCGCTCCCGGCCTCTAGGCCGCGCTGGTCCCGGAACGCAAGACTCGCGCCGCCCGCCTGCTGCCGGGACCTTCAGGGAGCGCGCCGGGGGGAGCGAGGCTCGGCAGCCATCTTGAGAGGACAGCTGGGGAGGGCGCTCCTACGGCGGCCCGCAGGGCTCACTGGGGCCCACAGGGACCTACGGCGGCCCGCGGGAGTCATGGCTGTAGCCGGAGGGGCCGGCGACCTTGGCTCAGAGCTCTCTCGTTTCCTGGCACAGCTCCCTTGACGGCGGCTCATTAGACACCCAGCTCGCGCGAGCATTGTGGTTTTAAGTCGTCGGGAGGAGCCCAGGCATGGGGAAAGGGATTCTGGTGCCCCGGATTCAGCCAGTCACACTGTGCGTCCAGCATGTGAAGGAACCGCACTGGAAAAGTGGACCAGTGCTGCCAGCAGCGACCACTATTAAACGTCTAGCGCAGTCTGGATAAAGCTCCCTTAAAGGTCCTACAGTTTGGGAAGATTGTCTTCCATCATCCCGTCTGTTGTCTGCGCAAAGCTTTGAGACTGGGATATCCTACCAAGCTGAGCTGACTGCTGATTTCCATGGGATGTTGAGACCAGCGTGGGCCTAGGGACTGACATGACATTGGCAGGCAACCCAGACTCCTCAACTTAGTTTATTAACTTTGACCCTCCTTATTAAAATTTAATGTGGATAAAAGATATTAAAAAAGTTAACGTCCTTTCTTTTCTCACCCATCCTCACAGGTAAAGATATCTAGTGAGCAGATAAATGATCAAAAACCCAGCAAGAGTGAGGCACTAGCAGTGTGGGGCCTTCATTAGGCAAAGGAACAAAAAATCCGCCTGTTAATTTTGCAGTTAACAATTAGCAGATGAATTTAAGCATATCGAGCACAGGGCATTTCCTAACTCGAAACATATTTCTGAACTGAAGCAGCCTTTGGTGGAGGGGGGCTAGTGATGTATCACTTTGGTGAATCTGTTAGTTGAGAGTTGATCCTTCTTTTGCTCTGAAGAATAAACCCCTAATCCAGCATTTTATAACTAATGTCACAAGGAAGCTCCAGTATGACCATATGAATCATAATCATACTGACAAGTGTTGCTAATTGAAACATTAAAAAAAATTTGAGATTCAGAAGTGTGCTTTTTCTCTGAAAATAATTTATCCTGGATTTAGAACACTACTGATTTTTCCTGTTAGTTTGTTTGGGTAACACATGATTTCATTTGCTCAGGAACCACAATTGTACTTTAAAATGTTAAGTTCTTTGGGTTATTATGGGTGTTAACACTGTGCATACACATTTAAAAATTTTTATGAATAGTCTGATTTTTCTACCGTAAATGGATTTAAAAAAAAAAAAACCAAACTCATGCAATAAAGATCAGATTTGGGGTTACCAGAGGCAAGGGATAGGGGAGGGGAATTGAAGAAAGGTGGTCAAAAGGTGCACACTTCCAGTTACAAGATAAATAAGTACTAAGGATGTAATGTATAGCATGATGCCTATAGTTAATACAACTGTATGATATATAAGAAATCTGTTAAGACAGTAAATTCTATTAGTTCTCATCACAAGAAAAAATAATTTGCTTTCTCTTCACTGTGTCTGTATGAGATGATGAAATGCTCCTAAACTTAATGCAGTAATCACTTCACAATATATGTAAGTCAAACATTATGCTATATGCTTTAAACTCGTAGGTCAGTTATATCTCAAAACCAGAGCAAACTGGTACAGCCATTCTGGAAAACAGTATGGAGGTTCCTCAAAAAGTTGAAAATATCACTGCCCTGTGACCCAGCAATTGTGCTACCAGACATTCATCCAAAAGATACAAGATTACTGATTCAAAGGGGGCACATGCACCTCAATTTTATAGCAGCACTATCAACAATAACCAAATTATGAAAATACGGAATATTACTCAGCCATCAAAAGAATGAAATCTTGCTATTTGCCATGATGTGGATGGAACTAAAGTGTATTATGCTAAGCGAAATAAATCAATAAGAGAAAGACAAATATCATATGATTTCACTCATGTGGAATTTAAGAAACAAATGATGAACTTATGGGAAGGAAAGGGAAAACAAAATAAGATAAAAGCAGAGAGGGAGGCAAACCATAAGAGACTCTTAAATATAGAGAACAAAAGGGTTGCTGGAGGGGAGGTGGGTAGAGAAATGAGCTAAATAATTGATGGGTATTAAGGAGAGCACTTGTGATAAGCACCAGGTGTTATATGTAAGTGATGAATCACTAAATTCTGCCCCTGAAACCAATACTATGCCATATGTTAACTAACTTAAATTTAAACAAAATCTTGGAAGGAAAAAAAGGGGGGGGGTGGATTTTTTTTTTCCAATGAATATTCTCCAAGTAATATGTGAGTTTTTCTTTAAAGTTCAGTGACTTACTCTGTGATTTGGGTTTTGCCATATTGGTTTTCTTAGAAACTACAACTCTAATATGTGACCCTACAATAGAAAAATAGAAAAACTTTTTGGTTTCCAGATTTTTTTATTGACCTAACCCTAAATTTTATGACATTTTCAGATACCTAATTATATTGTTCTGCTTGCGCCACCATAATAAAATATTACAGACTGTATGCTGAAACAACAGAAATTTATTTCTCACGGTTCTAGAGGGTGGAAAGTCCAAGATCAAGGCATAGACAAGATAGGTTTCTCCTAAGAGTTCTTTGACTTGTTTGCCAACAGTGGTTGTGTTTTCATATGCCCAAGGTGGGGAAAAGAAAGAGAGAGAGGATGTGCACTCTGGTGTCTCTTCTTTTAAGGGCACTAATCCTGTTGGATCAGAATTCCACCCTTTATGATCTCATTAAGCTTAATTACTTCCTACAGGCCCTATCTCCAAATGTAGTCACATTTAGGGGTCAGGGCTTCAACATATGAATTTGGGGAGGATACAGTGCAGTCCATAGCACTAGTCTTAAGGCTTCTATTCAGCCGTGACCTCCTTGATACTTTGACTACAACCTTCTTTTGACTCTAATGCCACTCTTTTGTCCTATTTTTATGACTCTGTTTCCATGATTGGTCCTATCATGGGGGATAGTGGTATTCCCTACAGATCATTTCCTTTCCCCTATGAAGAGAAAAAAAAAAAAAAAAAAAAAAAAGCTGACATTTCTTGAATACCTATTAGGTGCTAGGAATTTTATATATTTATTCAGTTACCAAATTTGTATGAGTGCTACCTTTGTGCTAAAACAAAACAAAATAACTATTCAGGTCACCAAGAAGACAAAGTTCCTACTTTCATGGCATTATGAGTAGAAAGATATATACAAAAATGGATATATAGTATGTTTGGTGGTAATAAGAGCCATAAAACATGGGAAGAGGATGAGAATTCTAGTTTGTGATGGTAGGTGAGGTGTGGTCATGGGCAAGATGACACTTGAGCAGAGAGTGACCAAAGAAGTGAAGGAGTAAGCCAGGTAGAAATCAGGAGGAAGAGCTTGGGGACAGAGGGGAGAGCAGCGCAAATGTCCTGAGGTGAGAGGGTGACTGGTATGTTTGAGGCCAGTGCAGCTGATGCATCCCTACTCCACTGGGAGAGGAAAGTCAGAGAGAAAGAACAGGCCAGATCTCATAGGGCCTGAAAGCTGAGAAAACCTTTTGCAATATTTTAAGCTAAGAATGACATAATTCTGGCTGACATTTTAAAAATAATCACTCCCATTGCTGTGGGAGTACAGCATGGTAGAAACTGAGAGACTAGCTGGCAACTATTAGAATAGTTCAGATAAAAGAAGGTGATGGTGGTAGCAGTGGAAAAAGGGAAGACATGGTTATGCATAATGTCTACAAAACTCTCCCATTGCCTGGGTACGTGGGCCTTTAAGATGACTATTAAGTGGTTTAAACAATCTGTTTCTTGAGGGGAGATTCTGGGGGAAATGATAGCGGCATTATTGCTTGGTCTCCACATAAAAAAAGACAAAGAAACTCTAAAACAAAAACAAACCCATGGATGACATCTACAACCAATCTAAATGAAACAATATTCTCATGATCTCCAGTATGCAGGTAAGTGAGAACAAAGCAATAGCAGTCACAAGATCTTTATGGTATCAGCAAAGGGAATCAGTGAGTCATCTGGAGAATTCCAAAATAGCTAAAAGGTATTCACTGGAAGGCCCAGCCAGTCAAGTTGAGAATGAAGGGGTGTTTGTTCTCTCCAACATCATGAGAGTGCAGGGGTCTCATGGTAAGGTCTGAAGAGATTGGAACAATATAGCTGTAGGAACTCTTGAAACTGACCTACCAGCACTTCCTTAGGAAAGGACCCACACTGAGGACAAACTGCTGGGCATGGAAACAAAAGTGAACCAGATAGAGACAAAGAGAAGAGAAGGTCTGAAAAAAATGAAGGACCAGAAAGTCTCCAAAAGTAAGCTGACTTAAAAAATTTTAAGACCACACTGTGAAAACAGAAAAGATTCTCTGTGAAGCAAGACAAGCTATCCTGGAAACTGCTTTGTTCAAAAAGTTCAAGAAAACCCATTTCACATAAAAATAAGCAATAGGAAAGTAAGGAAGTCAAATCCTATAGAAGACTACTGTAGTGAAAAAGAGAATAAGAACAGAATAGCACTTCTATACACAATAAAAGCAGACCAGAAAGATATACCCACAGGAAAGATCAACTTTTAAGCACCCCCCTT